ATATACTGTTTTACTCTGTCTTACCTAAGCAGCTCTTTTTCTTTTTCTTTGCGTAACTTGATGATTTTTTGCTTAGTAGAGAGAAACAGTTTCCTTTGCTCCTCTTCAGCTTCCCGTTTCTGAGCATCCGTGGCTCTTACGAGGTCTCTGTTGGTGATATGCTCCTGTAAAATGCATTAAATAAACTTAATGTCCAGTGAACTAAATACTAGATAAGATTCAGATAAGAGCCTACCTGGCGAGCTTGCATGAGGCTTCTTTTCTGATTTGCTTGTCTTTCTGCCTCCATCCTTCGCTCCAGCTGATGCAGCGCTTGGAGACGCTGGATTTCGTCTCCATCCTTCTTGCTCTCCAGCTTCTGTCGCTCTCTCAGCAGCTCATTTTCTTTTATTCTGAGGAAAAGTAATCATATAATTGTCATTGTCCTGGGGTAGTGGTGTTTTGGGGATTTAAAATTCTTAACACATACAGCTGGAGCCTGATTGTTAGGTCTTACTGGTTTCTCAGGTCTTCTGCAGCAACCTGTCTCACAAGCTTCCTCTGCATTGCCTTCTCCTGCTCCTGTTTCGAGGCTTCATCCTCTCTAGTCTGTACCATATGCAGAAATGCTTTGTCCACATCTATATTGGCACTCTTTCTTCTTTGTTTAAGCTCAATCTGAGCATCCCTCTCCTTCAGCACCTCTGTCAGCAGGAGTGCACTCTGTGGAGGAAGTGTTAATCATTTGTTAGGTGAAATTGTGCAGTTTTATACACAAGTGGCATAATAATGCACAAGCGAGACTAACATGTAGTCCTTTGACTCTGTCGGTTTGACAGTAGAGCTGAGTCTTGGCTTTTTCAATAATCTCCTTCCGCCTCTGCTCCTGGTATTTTGCTTCTTCTAAATCAGCCAGTCTCATTTGCTCCTCCTCAATTTCCTTTCGAATCTTCTTTTCCTGCAGCCTTTTCAGCCTTTGTCCCTGTGACAAGACATAAGTGTACGTAAGATGCAGTGTGTTTTTGTCTTTGTGTTCCAGCTCTTTTCAACCTAGCAAGTGCACATGACTTTATTAGTATAAATCTAATCTTAGGAAATGTCTCTCAACATGGAACTTACATGGAGGGTATCTGGCCAAAGTTTCACCACCTCCTGTGACTGCAGGTGTAGGTTCTCTCGCTGTTTAGCTGCCTCTCTTATTCTCTTCTCTTCTTTATTAACCCCACACAGTTCATCTTGAATCCTCAGCCATTCAGTCTTACGTAAGACAGTAACATGTCGGAGGTCTGGTGGCTGCATAGCTCTAATGGCTTCATCTGCTGACACATTAATAAAGAAATTACCACTGGAACATGTGCTACAGCAACCACTGATCACACCAAGGTTCCTACTACGTCCCTAGAAGATATTATACTCATATAGAGAAAAAAACCACAACACCCCACTTGTAAAATAACTGACTTTCATAGTTGTACTTCTTGGTTGAAGTGAAGTGAAGCAGGATCTTGGAAAGACTTTCAAAATTTAAAATCAAAAGCACTTATAGGCTAATAGCCTCGACAAACAAATAGCTTAAATAAATGAGCATTACATTCGGCTCCATCTAGAGTTTTTGGTTCAATAATGGCTTAAAACGGCTCTGGTAGCAAAGGTTAACTATATAACTACACATAATAAACTTTGAAATATTTGTTTGGCTCTCACCATTCTTACTAGCTCCTCTACGACGGCCGTACAGAACCACCGCTGCCATTCCTATCGGATGGAGTGGCTACTATTATAGAAAATAATGTCAAACACAAAAAACAAAGTAAAGGTTCTCTTTTATTTTATTATAGTTGAAAGCTGGCGTTCATCAGACTGCCCGCTCTACGTAGCCTGAGTTTGTTGCGTCGTATCCAGGCAATGACGGAACCAATCAGAATCATCCTCTGAATACTGATAGGCAGAGCCCTCGGAGGGTCAGCGGGGCTCAGGAGAGAAAGCTCTGTTTTTCTCAAATTAGTAGGCAATAAATCCATTGATCTACAACAGTATTTTATACCGCAGTCAAGTGTATATATACACACTCGTATACACTCTGAATTCATTATGTAAAAAACTAGGGAAAATGAATGGCGTGACACACGTTTTTTTGTGATCTTTCCATAGTTATACACAATTTCTGCATGGGGATGCATGTTCAGTTATCTCACTGACACCAAGAGGAGAAAAGTGGTTGTCTAAACTTAGAAAGAACAATCTTGTCTATGGTTTAAAACAACATCAAATATGTAAATTAATTTTTTCTAAGCACCACATTTGTACTTTGTACAAATTTGTTTTTTTTCTTACAAACATAGACCAGAACGCTGTGAAGTACAATGTTTGGTTTATTAAAAACAACAAGCAGGTAAAGTTTTTCTCATTGCAGTCTTCAGGCTGAGTCCACCTGTGATTCACGTGCTGACAGTTAGGGCTCAGTTTTTACTACTTTTACTACTCTGATGTGTCAAAATATGCCCACTGACAAAGCCTGTAGTTATGAAAAAATGTTAAAAGAGTAACTGAAAGTAATAGATGAATGGTTCATAAAGTTTTTATTTACAGTATACTAGTTAAACATGATGGGAAATCTGATGACAAAGATGGAGTCTCTGATTTGGACAGTGATTCTGGTTTGTAATAGGACTCCTGGCAATTTCAGATTAAATAATTTTGTTGTCTTTACTCTTGTTTAAGATCTTGGTCAATGAAATCCATTGTAAAATCTGGTCCTTTAGGCATATGCAGCTGTGTGACCATGACAGATGTGCTAAATTTACTGAGCCAGCAGTGAAACATGGCCTGTCATGTGCTGCCTAATGAGTCAGGTGATGAACAGTGTCTGTTGAATTAAGACTCGCCTGACCTGACTTACTGTTAAATGGGGAGAGTTATGGACCAATTTGATCTTTAGGTGATTACATCTCTCAGATCCTTTACTTTGCTACTTATGTTTCAGCTGTTATAGTTTATACTCAGTTATTTGATAGAGTTTTGAAGGTTATTCTGAACTGTGTTTCATACAAGGCTATGCTGGTAAACTCTGAGAAACAAAATATGGATCTAGAAATAAGCATAATCAACACCTCATGATTAGAATTTGTTTTCAATTTGTAGCAGAGTTTCACTGAACGTCGGAGACAGGCTAAGAATAATATTTTTCTACTGTTTGTACTTAGTAAAGGTAAAGTACTTCATAGTACTTACAAACTAAAGATGTATCCCTTTCCAGCTATGAATGCGGTTTATGTGTTTACTTTTATTTGCAATCTTTCAGTTTCATTTTTTCTAATTTGTACAGCATACAATTCATATATTATCCCTGGTATAACTAAAAACTATGCATCGTTTAGAGTCTCGAGTTAGGGATTGGTGTATGGATAAGCTACACTGAGTAACCTTAATATCATCTGATAGTTGCTATACTGCTTGTATTACATTTAATAAGCCATTGCTGCTCTATTGAACTTACAATATTTTACCTTTTTATATATTATTTTTTATTTCAGTTTACACTCATTTCCCTTCAGTATATGTATCTGTTTAGATTAGTTTGATACTTATTGATATATTTTTGTCCTATTCTGTTTTATTCAGCAACATATCATTCTACTTATTGGCACTATTTCTTATATGTATTGTGTGTTTGTCTTAGTTTTTAACTGCTCTAACAAAAGCATTTTCCATCTTTGCCATAAAGGAAACATATCCTATCCCATCATATAAAATAAAAGCTAGCAATCAGTTAAAGAAAATCTCAAGTTGACAAATAAAAGTATGTACAAAATAAAACACCCTATCCAAATAAAATCCAAGTCAATAGAAATTTTTAAATGAGGATTTCATTTATCAAGGGAAAAAAGTTTACAAGCCTGGCCCTATATGAAAAGGAATAATGAATTAACTGTGATAAACCATTGATTTTGGAAAGTTAAGCTTCATTAGCTAATACGAAGCCTTATTGCTGCCAGACTTGTTGAATCCAGAAATCACTTAAATAGAACCTGCCTGACAACGTGAAGAAGGCTAAAAGCTCTCAAAATCTAAAGAAACAGCTGAGAAACAAAGTCATTGACATCTATCCGTCTGAAAATGGAAATGAAAATTACTCCAAATGACTGCGTTCTGCTGTTTCAGGTGCTTCCATGACATGACTCCAGAAGGACATAAAATAACTCAACTGCAGGCCTCACCTGCCTCAGTTAAAGTCGGCATTCATTATTTAATAATAAGAAAGAGACTGGGTAAAAAATATCATCCATGGGAGAACTCCAAAGAGAAACTCACAGCTGAGCAAAAAGAACACAAAGGCTCATCTCACATTCACCAAAAGAAACCTTATATAATATGAGTTTCATTTATATGAAGCTTTGAGTCCCGTTAAATCTGACATAAAACGAATACAGCATTTCAATTAAAAACAAAACAAAACATCACATCAGCATGGTGGTGGTAGTGTGATAGCCTGTGGCAGGACAGTGATATGAAGCACACCAGCTAGTCCACTGAATGTCCCCAAAAAATAAAAGGAAGGTTAGATGGAAGATTGAGATGCTTTGACCTGACCTTAAACTGGCTATTCACACCAAACGTCTCCCACTGTGGCTCAGTTAAAGCATTTCTGCAAAGAAGAGTGGGCCAAAATTCCTCCATGTGAAATGTGAAAGACTCATTGCCAGTTATCACAAAAGCTTGATCGCAGTTCTTGCTGCAGAAGTGGCACAAGTAGTTATCGGGTTTAGGAATAGCTTTTTTCACTTAATAGTTTGAATTATGGTTTAAAAACTGCTTTTTGTATTTACATGTATGTGTGACAAATGTGCAAAATAATAAATAACGCTGATCCATTTTAACAGGAGGCTGTTGCTAACCTTGAACCAGCACTACGTGTAGTCTTACAAACCAAAAGCCAGTATTAGCCTCAGTTAGAGTACTTCTGCACTTTTATTTTGAATGCAGGCCATTTCCAGGATTTCCAGTATGCATTGTTCGGATTTGACTTTCTATGCTTTGAGAGCTGCAGGCGGATCCACGTAGAAAGGGGGCGTCTTAAATCAGAGACGACCATTCAAAACCGGCAGAAGGAAAAAAAAAAGAAAAAAGAAGCAACTCCCCGATCCATCCATCCATCTCTTCTCCCAGATCACTCAGCACCCACCGGTGGCCCACCAACGAGCGACCCGCAGAGAAAACACCAAGATGGCCCCGATCTCCATCAAAACCGTGCTGATTAGTGAAAGTGTCGACCCTCGCTGCAAGACGATTCTGGAGGAAAATGGCATCCGAGTCACGGAGAAGCAGAACATGACTAAGGATGAATTAATCGCGGAGATAAAGGTAGTAATGGCACTCTGCGTTATATTGCGTGATTTCTTCACATGCACCCGCTGTCGGGTTTATTTTTTTCTTCCTACCAAGCAGGTTTCTATAAAGTTTAGTCTAAAGCCGCTTTCGCTCTAATCGGTGCGCATGTGCCCCTGCACGCCTAAAAAAGTTTTTGCGGACTAGCAGCCGGCATTTTTTATTCCGTAACACAATTCAACCTGACACGTGTAATTAAATGATCCCGGCAGCCAGTTAAAAACTGATTTATTCGGTTAGTACCGCCCATTGTGAAGCTGATGCAACTCATTCGTGGTGTTGTGACTATTGCCGCACGGTCAGACCTCCTATCTGCTGCAAGTGCATCGGGCGGCCATTGATTCCACTTCTACCCCCAACCCAAACTATTCCATCAATCCCACATTTTCTCCACAGAGCCAATGTGTGTATGTCTAAGAATATGTGAACAAATTCAATTTGTCAGATTAGAAATAATGAGCTGTTCTCATGTAAGCTGAATGGACTGTACAGGGCTGGCTCTAAAACTTCTGGTGCCCTAAATGACATGAGGCCCCTGCAGGGGTGTCTTAACATTATTGTACACCCTGGGGCTGTGAGCCTTTTGGAGCCCCCATAGTCCAAAATGTATTTATTTTTAAAAATTTATTTTAGCCTATTCTCAATAAACATTTCAATGTTGAATGACCATTGGATGGCTGTTTCTCAGCATCTAGTCTTAAATTAAAAAAAAAAAACATAGCTCTGAGATGAAAATGGACTGGTTGTGTTGCTTAAATAATGCCTGTACATCCTTGTTGGGCTTTCTAGCAAGAAAAAGCTTCTGTTCAAGAATTTTTAAATGATTTATTATGCTTTTGTCCTCTAGAATAAAATAAATCAAGAATATACACCACAAGGGTAACACAAAGTGTTCATCTCTCACACTGAGCTAACTGAGCTAATAACTGGCTGCAACACAGGCTAATAAATCACCATGCAACAAATGGGATAGAATTTACATGAAGATCAACATAAGCGGCTTAAAAGTGTCCTTTATAGTTAATAAGAATAACATTTGGTAATAGTAGTGTGTGTGTGTGTGTGTGTACATGAACCAGATGTTGTTTGGCACTCTGCTGACAACTATTTAACAACGTTATCAGTCAGATGTCATTTTGCAGCATGATCAGTTTTGAATGCTGCAGTTTCAACCATTACAAAAAAAAAAATCTTTACGATCTTTGTTTTTTTGTTTGTTTGGGGTTTTTTTTGCTTTTTAGTCTGTATTTAGACAAGAAAGTGGAAAGAAGAGAGGGAAATCTGAGAGCAGGAAAAAGACACACAGTGAATGGTCTTGAAGCAGATTCAAACCCAGAACTCGGCACCTGAAACAACACCTGTCTGTGTCATGTCATGTGCCATGACATGACACAGACAGAGATATAAAATCACATTTTATTGTGGAAAAAAGTTATTTGCATGGTTAACAGGTGTCCCCCTGGCAATGGGAAACTATAGAAGTCCATGTTACATTGTAACAGGGGAAAAAACCCCACTATAACCTGTCTTGTAACATTTCTGGTTGAACAGAGGTAAATCATTTGGCATAAAACAGGCCAAAGATCAGTGTTAGAAATGAGGAATTAATGAGAATTATTTAGTAAGTATATCATATCCTGGCATAGGATTTTTGACTGGTTCACAGTTTTTATGCTGCTCAAAATAACTGACACCCATTGACTCTGTGTGAACTATTGGGTGTATTTAAAACAGCTCTGCTTCTTTCTGAATCTCAGGACTATGATGGCCTCGTGGTTAGATCTGCAACCAAGGTAACAGCTGATGTTATCAGTGCTGCTAATAATCTCAAAATTATTGGAAGAGCTGGGACCGGTGTGGACAACGTAGATGTTCCTGCCGCTACCAAAAAGGGCATTATTGTCATGAAGTAAGCCTCCAGTTTAAATGCAGATTTTCTTCACTGTGCAGTTCCAGTATACCACTGACTTTACTTTATAACTGTGTTTTTCTGCAGCACGCCGAGTGGCAACACGATCAGTGCTGCTGAGCTGACATGTGCTCTGCTCATGAGCCTCTCAAGGCAAGACGAGTCATGTCATTTCTGAACAATTGCCGAGAAGCTCTGTGGTTGTAATTGAAGTGCAGTAATATTCCATTATTACGTTGATCTGTTTTCAGAAATGTGCCACAAGCAGCGATGTCAATGAAGCAAGGAAACTGGGATCGCAAGAAGGTAAAAGCATTTTCGCTTGCTCTCCAGTGTGCTGTTTGAACGGCTGTTTGCACTGGGAGCATCAAGCCATTACTGTTGCATGGTTGGCTCCATTGTCCACTCAGTTGTGAATAATCAGATGGGACACTTGGATCTGTGTACTTTGAGATTTTTGGAGGTGGGTCATTGTTTTGCTTCCGATTTTTCAGTTCATGGGCGCAGAGCTGTACGGCAAAGTGCTCGGAATAGTCGGACTTGGAAGAATAGGAAAGGAGGTCGCCTCGAGGATGCAGTCATTTGGCATGAGGGTCAGCATATGATATCTGCTCACAGTTACTGTGATATTTAAAATAAACAGGCATAAAAAGATGACAGGTTGTTTTCTCCTTAACAGACTATTGGCTATGATCCAATCACTCCTCCAGAGGTGTCAGCCAGCTGGGGAGTGGAACAGATGTCTCTGGAGCAGCTCTGGCCCCAGTGTGACTACATCACTGTCCACACTCCCCTGTTGCCCTCTACTGTCGGTGAGCTAAACACCAATCATATGTCGGTCGATTATAACGGTGGCGCAAAGTCCATCAGCAAGATGTGGAATTTCTCTTTGATGTTCCCAAGGTCTGCTTAACGATGAAAGCTTTGCCAAGTGCAAGAAAGGCGTGAAGGTTGTGAACTGTGCAAGAGGGGGCATCATCGATGAGGAGGCTCTGCTCAGAGCCTTGGAGTCTGGACAGTGTGGAGGAGCAGGCCTTGACGTCTTTGTGGAGGTTTTTCTTTTTGTCAGATTGATTGATTGACTTTATTTTTATTAAATAAAGAGATGTTGTTGCTTAAATTTCACATTGTCTTTATGTTTTTGGCTACAGGAGCCACCTAAGAACCACTCACTGGTGGAGCATCCCAATGTCATCAGCTGCCCTCACCTGGGAGCCAGTACGAAGGAGGCTCAGGCTCGCTGTGGGGAGGACATTGCCCTGCAGATCGTGGACATGGTGAAGGGAAAGAACCTGGTCGGAGCAGTAAGTCCTACATGCTCGTCTTAATACTGTGTTTAAAAAATAACTCCTCAGACCAGAGTTATAAATTTGCTAAAGGGCTACTGAAGTGATTGTTTGGCGGATTTGTGTAAAATGAATCGCTAAAGAAGCCTAAATATTCTCAAGCTTCAAAAGCATCACTATCAACAAATCAGACTTCATACCCACAGTTATCTGTACAGGAAGTAGTGGACTGTTTTACAGACTGCCGTGCAGCAGGTCAGAAGAAAACAGGAACCTAATGGATATCACAGCAGTGGTTATTAGCTTTCTTTGTCAAGCCAGGCTTTCTGCTTTGGGTTCTGTCCACACTTGCCATAAAGTGGGAATTTGATGCATCATTTCACTTTTCATCTGCACCAAATGGACAGCAGAATATGTCAAGTATTATCAGATAAGCAGATGATTATAAAGCTGTGAAGAATATAAAAAATAAAACTGCAGCGCTGTTTCTGGAAATAAGACAAGCGAGCAATGCTCGCAGAAAACCGTCAGTCTCAGGAATTTGTGAGTTAAATTTTTCTTTATTTCTTTTACTCCATGTGCCGTCAGTGCTGCAGTTTATTTTGAATATGACAGCTGCACATTGGACATCTGGAGCTTTAAAACTGATATATTTTATTGTTTGTTTAGTACAAAAAACATAAAGCAAACAGTGGTGATACATACAAAGAAACAGAGACTGAGCAGGAAACAGTATCAGTAGATAATCCAGTTTGATCACATTTGGAGGGTGTTGGTAAAAAAAATTATAAAAAAAAAGCCCTCAACTAAAATAAATAATTATAACCTTTTTTTTTTAAAAAAGAAAAAAGAATGATTTTGTAACAGATTTTAAACTGTTCTCCTTATGCAGGTAAATGCTCAGGTCTTGGCTAGCACGTTCTCCCAGGAGTCGCAGCAACTGATTAAACTCGGAGAAGCCGTTGGATCTGTTCTTCAGTCTTTCAGCGCGTCTAAGAAACCATTCAGTCACGTTCAAATTACTACACAAGGTAACATTTCTGGTTTAACCAGTTTCCTGTAACCAAGCGACCTCAAGGAGAGTTCATCTCATAGGAAGGAAAAATACTAGGAAGCAGTTTTTCCTCCCTCTGCTGGTGTCACAGTGAAACTGTCCAATCAGTCGTGTGGGTTTATAAGCTATTATAGGAATATCATTTCTGTGTAATTTCTTTTGTCTTTTTTTTTTCTAAAACAGTTTTACTTTAAAATATTTTGCCTATAATTAAAAGCTTTTTGCACTCTGCTCAACAAACCAGGGGATTGTATGAAGTCCTCCACTGGTTACATGACTTCAGCTGTGCTGGTGGGTTTACTCAATCATGAATCAGGATGTTGCCCGAACCTCATCAACGCGCTGAGCTTAGCTAAGGAAACTGGAATCACGGTACACCGTCAATTTATTCAGGCAAATAAAACATGAGAAAAACAAGTGGAATATATGTCAAATAAATCTTTTTCCTTTATCTCAACTTCTTCAGGTTTACCAGGCCCACTGTGCATCTGCCGGGGCCACTGAAGGCGTGTGTAAGGTGGAGATTGCGGCCAATGGCTGCAGCTACAAAGCCAGCGGTTCAGTTCAAGGTGGAGCACCTGTCCTCCTGGAGCTGTGCAACAGTGTGTTCAGACAGCCCATCTCTCTCACTGGAAATCTGCTGTTCTTTAAGGCCCCTGCGAATCCTCAACTCCTGTCCTCACTGGCTGGTAAGAAAATGTAGACATCAAAACTATCATCTGTGAATATAAAAGATTTCACTGTACACAAATGGCCTCCACAGTCATCAAATCTCAGAGCAGGTTTGGGACATGGTTGAAGCACAGATGTGCTGCCAACAAATCTGTAGCAACTGTGCAATTCTATCATATCAATACTGGTTTGTTTCAGCACCTGTTTGAATCCATGCAACAAAGTATTAAGCGAGAGAAAAAGCAGGTCCAACCCAGTAGTGCAATAGAGTCGCCACCCTCTGGACAATAGATAGAATGCACAAACTCTCCCTCATTGTATATTCAAATGTATATTCAACATTCACAATCAGTAACTGAGAAAAGTTTCTTTTCAGTGTTTTACGAATTAATTTATGACTTCCATTAGTTCCATCAGTTTTGGAGGCTAAGGCAATAACCTTAAACACAATATAAAGAGTCAAAATTGTTTCTCACTTCAGAACAATTAAATGGAAAGTTTAGGTTGGTGGTAGATAGTTTGCTTGTCTGTTAAAATGTGTGTCTGAAAACAAAGCATGCATTCTTGTTGTTTTTCCTCAACTGCGTCTTTACGCACATTTGTTTTTGAGTTTGAATTTAGATGAAAGCTGGCCCTGAGTTGTGAGAACTAAATTGTAACCTTCACCATGTTTCTTTTCTTTCCATTCACACCTATTTTCTCTCTTCAATTGTTCTTTGTTTAGGAGTGTTGGCCACAGAGGGAGTGGAGATTGAGTCTTTCAGTGCTCCTGCAGACCGCTCTGGGGATCTGTGGTATTGTGTGGGGGTGTCCTCTCTCTTGAGAGATCTCAGTGCCTTGAACTCCGTGGTGAAGGATGCAGCGCAGCTCAGCTTTTAAATGACAGCGCAAAGCACTTACAGAGGCACTGAATAGCATTCAGGATGTGAGATCTGTAACATTTTCAGGAGCGTCTAATATAAATGATCCGGTCTTTGTGTTTACAGCTAACAACTTGTGCAGAAGTTGCAGTTTAAAACCTGCATTTTATAACATTCCAGTGTTTAGATGTTTTTATTAACTTGTAGAAGTAGAAATTAAATAAAAATGTTTGTTGTACGCTGCTCAGTTTGTTTGATCCTCTTAAAGAAGACTTTCTAATATGAACGCCTTATATTTTAATATTTTAAAAATACTTCACTACACAGCTCGAGTTCAGTACGACAGCCTTTCAATAATTCCTCTATTAAAATGTTCAATGTGTGATTTGTGTCGGTTCTATGGGGGGTTTTTTGCCCCACTGTTATTAATTTTTGGTAAGATTACACAGTAAAGGGCTGCACAACACATCCCAGAGCTAGTGGCAGAAAGCTGCTTTGTAGGTTGTAGCAAGCAAGCAACAACACAACTTTTTTTCATATGTAAATCTGTTCCTGTGGCATCATGGAAATCTCACTCACTTTAGATCATCTCATCTCACTACTTTCCACTTCTAAATAAGAATACATTTCAGCTCATTGTCTCAAAACAGAGTAGCCAGAAATAGGCATTTACTTTCTGTAGACCTTCAGAAAATATGAGTCCTACCACATGCAGTGCATATGCTCAGTTCTCTGAATCCTTAAGCAAAGATATATTTTACTCCATCCTCCCAGAAAACCACAGTGGATGCCACAGTAGTATATTTTTCAACAATAAATAAATAAAGAGATTAAATAATGGAATCTGTGGAATCGTTGCATGAAAAACTTAATTCAATCTGTGTCCGCTGCCTAATCAGTCATGCAGTTAGTCCAGCCTACACAGCAATCTGTTTAATCCACAGCAAAGCGCTATGGCTTGTGGTAAATGTCAGATACAACAGTCCTTCTGCATCCATATATTGGATGATGGATTTGAAACAAGCATTTCACATTTGGATTGTTCACTCTTTAACGACCTGTTGTCACTAATTTTCAGTAAAGTTGTTGTGTAATTTTGCATACCTCAGGCTTTTCTTCCTCATTTCCCTTCCTTAAGAACGACTTCTTGACAGCCACCTTGAGACGATTTCTAATGTCACCAGCAGATGGATAAACTTTAGGACCTAAAGCATCTCTCAGGTCCTGTGTCAGGTCTTTGCTGTTTTCCCCCCCCTTCTTTCTTAAGAACGTGACTTTTAGATACTGTTCGTCTGCTGAACACAGAGTTTGATTTTTTTTAGGCCTGCAAGCTTTTGTTTGTCCTTTGCTTGTCCAGTTTCTTAATTTTTATTAAGGACACAGTGAATGGCATGCTGCCATATGCTATTTTTTTTGTCTAATAGCTCTTTAGAAATCATGCTGTTGTTGCAATGCCTGTCAAACTGTGATGGAATTTTTCATAGATTCAACTAAAGGAACAAATTAGGTGTTTGTACGATAAAGTGGCTAAGGATACAATTTATAATTGGTTCTTTGCTAAGTTGTCTGTTATGTGTATACACAACACTGGTTCATCCCTTGATTGAGGTGGCTTTTTATGCTTGAATGATTCATATATTAATGTTAAAGTGCTTAACAAAACAAAACAAAACAGAAAATCTCTATGAAAATGGTGAGGTACAAGAGCTGGACTGAAAATAAGTGAAAAAGCAGCCAATGTGCAAAGGGCCTTCAGAAAGCCCAGAGAGCTATCCCCTAAGACCACCTGAAACAAAATTACACGTCTGGCTCATTGGAAGCAAACTATAAAGAAGTTAGCTCAAGTTTTTTTGCACGTTAATATAAAATTAAAACATTTCACCCGTTCACACAGACTTCTGTGTTACATAAAACCGGTTATGATGTTGTAACAAGAGACAAAGTGCGATTCATTTTGAAAGTTTAATTCGATATTTTACCTCAGTTGGCTGTTTTATCAACATCAGTCGTTTGATTTATAAGTTAAACGTTCAGAAAATACTGAGTGGGACCGTCGCAGTGCTCATTTTAACAACAGTTAAACGATAGAATAAATTCATGAATAAAATCCTTCATTGGACTAAAAAGAAAAGAATCAGCATGTCTCACGGAAGGTAACTTTTTTATGAACATTTATGCAAAACAGTTGCCAGTCAAATCTCTGTCACTTAGCCATTAAGTTATGCATTGAGTCCAGTCTGCACCGCTGTCCCTTTTAATTCAGCATTAAGCATTAAACTCTCAGGTATCAGCAGTGACCTGCCTCTCTGTTGCTTTATAAACCCAGGCGGCTTGTTATGGGGCACAAAAAACAATCTGTCTTTTAAAAAAAGGTTTTACAAAGGCTCTGTTATTACTAGTTCTAATGCAGTAATATTGTTTCATTATATATGATTTGCTGAGATTAACACATATTCCGTCTCTGCAGCCCTGTGCTGTTAATCCTCGTTAGGATTAGCTAAAGCCTTTACCGCACTCGAATTGGGTTCAGAATACCATGGCAACGCCAAGAATGGTGAACACATGAATGGACCAGTGCAATGACTTCTTCTTCGTCGTCGTCTTCCCTTTCTCCTTCTTGCGCCCTAGTAAAAAGCGACGCTCATTTGTATACTATTTGTATTCTGTTTGCGCCTGCTGGGTGCACAGAAAATGTGCCGTTCGTGAGCGCGTCACGAGACTGTGGATGGATGGAGGTTATATTTAGACTCTGAGAGAAAACGGTGGGGTTGGGTGATTCCTCTGAAGGAGTTTTGTCAAGGACCCGCTGTTTGAGACTACAGAGCAGAGGAGAAGAGAGGAGGAGGAGGGGGTTATGGACGCTGCGCACAAATACCAAAATAGGATCGAGCTGCCTGCCTGCGACTGTCCTGCGTGAGCTAAATTGAGGCTCATGTGTGGTGGAGACGGGAGAGCTTGAGGACAGTGTGGAAGGAGAGACAGAAAAAAAAAGCTCGAGTCATTCATGGAAATAGGGTGAGTGGTAGTCAAGCAGTGTGTCTGCTTGGATACAGGGATTAAAGCGTAAATGCGAAGACTCTTCTATGACCAGTCACACTGCAATTAATTATAAATGGGAATGTGACGCCTCGGTATTGCTTTGATGTTCGCCAGCCCTCTGTGTGTGTGTGTGTGTGTGTGTGTGTGTGTGTGTGTGTGTGTGTGTGTTTGGCTTACATTAGACACATACTTTCTCCATCTCTCTTTTCTAGATATCATGTCACATAAACAAGCCGAAATCTACACATATGACTTCTGTGATGGTGACCATCCGGCAGAGCTCCTGGATGCGCTCAGGCACTTCTACATTAGCGGGCTGTTTACCGATGTCGCTCTGCAGTGTGGCGAGTCGGGACAGGTGTTTCACTGCCACAAGGCGCTGCTGTCAGCCCGCAGCTCCTATTTCAAAGTCATGTTCACAGCTGACATGAAGGAGAGATCAAACAGCGTCATCAAACTGAGCGGCATAGACTACGGGGTGCTGGGTGCTCTGGTGGACTATGTGTACACTGCTCAGGTGTGCATCACTGAGAGCAACGTACAGAGCCTGCTGGAGGCTGCAGACCTGCTGCAGTTCGTTCCTGTGAAGCAAGCATGTGAGGAGTTTCTCATTCGCCTCCTGGATGTGGACAACTGCCTGGGCATGCACGCTTTCGCTGAGCTGCACCTGTGCCCTGGGCTGGAGAGGGAGGCACGCAGAGTGATGCTGAGCAGGTTCCCGGAGCTCATTCAGCAGGAGGAGTTTCTAGAGCTGCACCCTGAGAAGATGAGAGAAGTCTTGGCTGTACAGAGCCTCACTGTGCAGAAAGATGAAGTGTTGATAGATGCTCTCGCCACATGGGTAAACCATGACTTAGATAATCGCATACACCACGTTTCAATTATGCTACATTCCATCCATCTGGATCTGGATGAGATTTACTTTAAGACCACGTTAGACGTGTATAGACAATACTTAAAGAAGAATGATGGGAAATTGAAATCTATAATCATCCAGGCTTTAAGGTCAAATGGAAAAGAGATACCTGCGGCTAGAAAAATGTCTGCCAACATGTATATCATTGGAGGGTACTATTGGCACCCCCTTTGTGAAGTCCACATCTGGGATCCTATCAGCAACACATGGGTGCAAGGAAAGGACATGCCCAACCATGCAAGAGAGAGCTACAGCGTCAGTTTACTTGGTGCAAATATCTATGTGACAGGTGGCTACAAGACAAACACTGTTGAGGCCCTGGACACTGTTTCAATTTATAACTGTGACTGTGATGAATGGACTGAGGGCTGCCCCATGATTACAGCCAGGTACTACCATTGCTCTGTGGCGTTGCACGGCTGCATCTATGCCATCGGAGGCTACCGGGGAGGAGCTCCAGAACGAGACACCGAATTTTATGATCCGTTAAAAAAGAAATGGTTCCCTGTGGCCAAAATGATCCAAGGTATGCTGAAATACTGGGATTGTGTTATCTCCAGGGCTGAAATGATGAGCAGGATATAAATAAATGAAGGCAGAGGAAGCAGTTTCACCACAAGGTCCATTTAGTGGAGTTGTATGAGTTCTTTATGGGCTTCTTATAGGATGAAAAGCTGTTGTTTAAAACACATGGTCATAATACCATCTGCTGATGAAGATCATGTGATTTTTTGACTGAAAGCTCCTGAGCAGTTCATACATGGAACTTGTTGTTTCTCAGTTCAAGAATGAGCATTAAAATCAAATGTCATTATATGTTTTTTTTAAACAGTATCATTGACAATCATTTATGTGACTCATACCATTTACGGTAGCAGCTATTTATTATATGTTCTGCACAGAACAACAAGCCGACAGAGTTCACATTAAGAATTGTATCCACCACCCAAAGGGAGCGAGCAGGCAGCTAACATTACAGCTCAACAGAAGGAGACACCATTAATGTTTAGATAGTGTCACACTGTTGCGAACTCATGCTTTTCAGCATGGTTAGATGAACTGTGGGGGTATAGCTTAGCAAATAATTGAGTAGTTCATAACTGAAACTGCTTGAAACAAGGTTTGCAGATTTTTGAACGACTAGGCCACAGTTTCTGCGAAAGCTGCTGAGTTTTTCCAAACAGTGCTTTGATAACCAGATGTCAAGTGCCAGTTATTTCCATTTTATTAAGGAAAAACCAGAATCTGATAGAGCTGATATCTACTAATCTGAACAACTCACACCAAAAAGATTCAGATGGATAAATGGCACTACAGGCCAGAGGAAAAACATGTAATTTTGATTTTGGGTGAACTGTGCCTTTGCACTGTGCGTATATATATATATATATATATATATATATATATATATATATATATATATATAT